GCGAACATTTTTATTTACGAACAGATGCAAGTTCAAGAGACCTAAATCTGGTGATCGGTTTCCACAAATCCTAGATTTTCCGTTTCTCCAAAGCAGATTTCCGTGCACATTGTCCTGACTGAGATCTTCTTAGCCCAACCGGATCCACCAGTCTCTTCGTCCAGCTTACGCAAACAATTCGCATAAGATTCTCTAAGAGTATTAATCAATTGTGCAGTGTTTGGTACCAAGTAAAACCACCCGTTGCGTGGTCGCGTGATCGTGCAAAATTACGGAATTCAGCGCGTTGATCGCGCGGAAAATGAACGGAGTCGCGAAATTATCAGATCAACGACGGAAGGGGTCAGCGGAACACGGTCAACCCTCTTTGACGCAGCACCCCTCATTGGCACTTGAGAATAAACAAGAGCCGATCGATGGTCGAGAGAGGGTGGAATCGAGTGTCTATAGAGAAAACGAACGCTCTATAAATTCTTTTGTAATCGACGCCACTTCGCGTCCATCGTCGAAACCTTTTCACCGGTACGTGGAAACGATCAAAATCGGTTGGTCATACTCGCCCTCGGACTGAAACTGGCCGGAATTGGGTACTTTTTGCAGGAAAGTTGATACATCCGTAAATCCATAAAATAAGATTCCAACTCGGACTACTAAGATTTTGGTCAGGCCATTTCTACTTATTAAAAACTATTATACTTATAAACGTACGTTCTATTCGAGCTTGTTTTCGAGTCATGGCGAGTTTCTTCTTTAACACACCTTCACAGCAAATGTTTGGCCTGGAGACTTATCATTGACTGTGCCCTTTTCATTTGTTCAGGAATTGTTCGAATTTCCAGGGCACAAAGTTGAAACAGATACTTACAATTAGCTCTATTCGTAAACAGTGAGATGAGCATAGTTCATTCAACTTGTCATAGCTTCAAACTAAGGTCTTCGAGTGTAGAATCTAGTTCTGAAGTCTCACCTGTTACCATCTCACCATGATACCAATCACTAATGTGATGTGACGAATTTGAGATCATATCCTCGATCTTGACCTAGTTGACTTCGAGTTTATTTTGATCAATAGCGATAATAGCGTGGAATTATTAGCCCAGGAAGTAGAATGGGGTCTCCAGATATCGATAGAGCCCAGATTCCTCTGCCCAGTCAATTTTTCCCAGAGAATTCATATTGTAGGACGCGTGGCGGGAATTAGCGCGTCTTACGGGACACCTGCTCGCGGGGGTGGTGTTCGGTATATATATATCTCGTTCGACGCCCCATCCGGGCGCTTAAAAGAGCAAAAACGCCGCGAGCTACCATTTTGTAGAGGAGTGGGCCGCGTCGTAGCACAATGTCCTCCTCTCCCGGTGGAAGCGAGAGAAACAACCGTTGGAAAGAGGGATCCCGGGCTGTTGGCGTCGTGGTGGTGGTCCAAAAGAGGGGTTGGCGGGACGAAGCGAGGGGGATGTCGGTGAGTGGTATCGAAGAGAGAAGTCACTTTCTTATTTCCATTCTTAGCGGCAGTTCTTTCGAATTCGACTCGGGCAATACCGGCGGCCACCATCTCGTAGCGTCCCACCTTCCTCCGCGTCGTGTCCCCACCACGCATGGGCTGGATCGGTTGGTACCCGTGGTCGGCGGTAGTGGTGGCAGCGGTGGCGGTAGCTCTACCTGGCTCTAACTCGCCCACCCCCCTCGTTTCTTCTCTTTCTTCGCCGCGTACCTGGTTTCCGTTTCTCTCTCTGTGGAAGCCACGACCCACCCCCTGGTGCAACGACGCGACGCCGGTGTATTACGTGGACGCAAACAGGTCTCCATTATCAACGAGAATCGCAAATTATTGCCGAGAAATTCTTCCTTCTCTGCCCCCCCCTCTCGAAGACCATCGAACTTGAGATTTCACCCTCGAATCTGGGAGTCACAGAGGGTTGGTTGACCAATTTTTCACGTACATGGACAAAATATCGTTACGAGAGTTCTGACTATATGATCACTATGGGAAATTTTAATTTTCAAAAAACTACAGAATTTAGTTGATATGCAAGAATATAAGAAATATTTAAAATAAGGTACCTAATTATTATATCTAGGGGTTGAGACAACCCTCTACAAAGCTTCAATTTCATTAATTTTGTAATATGAATTTACATGAAGACTTGCATTCTAATGATCACACAAGTATTTCAATGTTCTCCTGACATCATGCTAGTCAACCAACCCCATTGTCGGGGTAGATAGGTAGATAGGCTTATAATATGGAGAAGGTTAATTTTTGAGTCAATACAACGATTCAGTATCAAAAAATATGTTCTATTGTGATTCATAAATAATAGTACATGCACACACTTTGGTGAACTCAGAAACAATGGCGTCTTTTCTATCCGTCTTCGTCAACCAACCCCATTGTCGGGGTAGATAGGTAGATAGGCTTATAATATGGAGAAGGTTAATTTTAGAGCCAATACAACGCTTCAGTATCAAAAAATATGTTTTATTATGATTCATAAATAATAGTACAAGCACACACTTTGGTGAACTCAGAAACAATGGCGTCTTTTCTATCCGGTCTTCGTGTAATTTGATGCTGACTAATGCGTTTGATAATCGAAACAAAAGTATGCACATATCCAATCGAGCATGTTGCGTGAAATCCTCGATAAGCATTGCTTTCACGGACTATGGCTCGTCATGACGTGATGTATTACGTGGGAACAACGCGTCGATCTTCATTATCCCTGAAAATTAGAAATTATTCCTGAGAGTGTCTGTTACACGCATGATTAATCACCATCTAGTCGATCGAAGAAACGTGGAGATATAAATTGAGCACGACGTTAGAGTGTTCGAGAAATAATGATACACTGATTTAGAGAAAATTTACGGTGTATCTTTTAGGTTTAAACAAGTCGAATTTATTTATCGTGGAGAATTAGAAATTGTTCTTTTTTGAGTGCACGATTGTGCAGGGAAAACTCTCTCGTATCCACGATGGAACAGATGGTGTTGCAAATTAAGTAGATCGAGAGTATCAGTGTCAGACAGTTCGACGAAAATAAAGAACCTTTCCCTTCCATCTTTGTCCAGTTTAACGATACCTAAAGTTGGGTAACTAAAAAAGGACAATATCGAGTTTCACAACACTCGATTATGTTCCATGGAGTTCCAAGACTATACACAGCCTGGCGCAACTCTGTCTCTTTCAGACACGATCTACCATCGAGCATCCGTACAATCGGCGGAAGATGCACGATGAAGTCGTAAATTAAACCAACCGTGGGAATATATGTATGCAAATGAATCAGAAAATACCAAAATGGAGATGAATCTTTCTATAATGTGATATTTTTCGTATCCTCGTGCAACTTAATCTTCGATACTGGCTGGAAACAGGAGTAATAAATTGCGTGGGATTCCTTCTTTTTAAAATAAATTCAGCTCCTTAACCCCTTAACGATCATATTTTTCGGGTTAACCAACAATGATCAGTTTTCTTTATTGGATTTGTTTCTAAAAATACGGTTTTTGTTAATTATAATGTTGTATCGAACGTATAATTTGAAGGAAACCAAATATTTTCATCCCTTAAACCGTTGGATTAAACAAATATTAAGGGTTATAAAACGTTAAGGTAAAGGTTATAAAACGTTAAGGGGTTAAAGGAGGATCTTAATTTGTAAAAATATAAAAGTCATACTCAGAAAACTTTATAAAAATATAAAAGCAGATATTTATCTTTTGCACGTTATTTAAAATATTTATTTGAATAAAAATGTTGGGGTACTACGGTGCAAGGTATAATTCTCTACTCCTTTTTCAATCCAAGTCGAACAATAACAGCAGTGTCACATTGTCAACAAGTTGACGGTGTGCATCAGAAATTGATCCAAAACCAACACTCGTTGATTTATATACACGCATTCAACTGCATCACACGTCACAAGAGCAAAGTTTTGGTATTGTCCGTACGCATCGAGCTATGAATTTTTGCAATATTCAGCATACACCCCGAAAAAATTATCACATTTTTCACCGTTTGGAGCAAAACGTTCATCGATCGAGAAACAGTAATTGGGAGCGCTATAAATTATAGAATTTATAAACACGAAGTACAGTAGTGCCCATTTAAGTGGCCAAGGGACCTCGAATATTGGAGCGTGTCGAGCATAACTTTTGACGTCAGTCGTTATCGATACATTGTATATATGGTTTCGAGTACCAGCTATAATTCTGAGAAGTAACCCTCCTGCCCACTTAAGTGACCGCGACTGGTCTCGAGCGTGGACACTTAAGTGGGCACTAGCATAGCTATCTCGATCAAAATACTTCCCCTTTCGTACGAAACCATTATCACAGTAAAAATAGTAAAAGAGCTTCAAACGAATGCCTCGAAATAAAAAGCGTTGCATCTAAATCTTCTGTAACTTGGTCATTTTTGCAAATTTTACATTAATATGTTAGATTATTCTTACAATCCCCATCAAAAAGGGATAAAAAAAAATGTAGATTTTTTCGATCAGTCAGAATGGTTTGCCCTGTTAAGTAACGCGGGGGTTGATGGGATGAGGGATGAAGGAGGGCGAGAGATTTGTCCCGAAAACTGTAACGGAAAGCGAGCGCGGTCGTCGATCGTCGGGAAGAGGATTCGCGTGGCGTCCGTCGCGAGTTCACGGAACAAGGAAAAACGCGGGAGGGTGGACGCGATCGCGGGTCCCGGGAGGGAAAAACGAGTCGTCGAGGGAGACGGAGCGACCCTGGAGGGAGGGGAGTGCACGGGAAACGCAGGTCGGACTCGTTATCGACGGCCTCGGGTCGTGGACCAATGAGAGTGGCGAGCGATACCGCGTTTACCTGGTGGCCACCGCCCACAGGGCTCTGCCATTGGGTGGCGCACTCTTTTCCCGCTGGGGGCGCTGTGGTGGGGGTAGTACTGTGCTCTGCGCGCCGTGGATCGGGTTCGGGCGTCGGGTCGTGCGTGCACACTCCCAAAACTATCCTCCGCGGTGGCGCATTGAACGTCGTCGTGCACGTCGCGTTCGTCCTCGTGTTCCTTCGAGAGTCCAGTTTCCATGCGAGTTCGCCGCCGCCCCGACTGACAATTAATCTTTGGGAAAACCGGACGGAGATGCCGTCGATCAACCGGGCGGACAGGTGTCGCGACGCGGACGCCTGATCGACAGCGACGGGGAGAAAAACAGCCCTGCGAGCAGTGATAACCGTGGAAAACAGTGTTCGGGACTCGAGTGGATAGCCTGATATGACAGTGCAGTGACATCCCCCCCGCTGTTTGTTGTTGGTTTTTACGTTCACGCGATACGTACGGGCCACGCGTTTTTTTGGCCCTTCGAGACTCCTCCGTCGACGGTATTCGAGACGACCAGGTGAGACGAGAGTCTCGACCACGGCTGCAAAATTGAGCTGGACTTGCACCAACGGGCCGCCGGCCACTTCATGAGGTGAGTTCTCGAATGCTTGCTCCGATTTTTAGTTTTCGTGTCTCGAGGTTGTTCAAATTTGGGCGGTTCGTGGGTCACTATATTCTGTTCTTGGGCTTGGAGTTAACGGTGTCGTGATTTCGATAAAAAAATGGCCTGGTATGCTCGTTTCGAACATCGAATGAAAGATAAACAAATTCCTATGTATGTTCGGTAATATTTTTAGTCTAAATTGTACAATTGATTAGATTATCTATAATTGTTCGAAGAAATCGATGTAGAGAATCAAACCTTCGTCGTCTACGAGTCTCTCTCTTTGAGGTACCGTTTGTATTTTGTTCGATCTTTCGTTAAAATAATCTGTGCAGGATGTACAGTGTTCAAAATAGTCGGAGAGTCTATTTGGGCAATTTTGTTGCTCGTTTAGTAACTTAATTGCTATTTAACCCTTTGTTGCTCGCGATGTTTTACGAGGATCCAATAGTTCTCTAGATTCAGCACTTATCCTTTACCCCAAATGTTATTAATAAATACAGATGCAAATAGCCATGAAGTAATTTCTTATAGTACAAAATTCTACAACAGATATTTAATAAAAATGTTGTATTATGTTTATATTATACAACGACTCTTCGTTCTTTGAAAAATTGTATACTACTTGTCTACTTTAACGGTACTTTTGCACAATATCGAAATAGTTTAGGTTTCAGGGATTTTAAACTTGTCCAAATATTGTTCTCCTTAGTATCACTTCGATATAAAATAACCCGTTTGAACTGTTATCAAGAACGTATGTTTCTTTCGATAACGGAATTCTCGCGTCAGTTCTCGAATTACCGTCGGTATTTCGTCGCTTGGAACGCGCCCATTCACGGAATATCGATGATTCAATCGACACTTGAGAATGTAAATAGGATTGGTTAGGTATTTATCAACACCAACAGTAACCCTGTTGCTCGAAATCGAACCACATTTCCGATATTCTTACACGTATGTATGTTTCGAATGAGAAGTAATTCGAATTCTCATGGATATTGATATACGAATGTAAAGTTGGAGATCCATACTTCCGTTTCCTTCTATTCTTTCTGAAGAATACCATTAAATTTTGTAATATTTGCTATTTCACAAATGTATCTTGATTATTGTGTATGTTTAGAAATTTTCAAACGTTTAGAAAATGCCTTGATTAATTTACTACATTTAGGATTCGAATTTCCCACGATTTAAAGTTTCCAACTTTAGTTTTCATGATTCTGTTCGATAGTGAGGCTAGAAATGATTTAGATTCCTCTTTGAAAAGCTTTTGTTTGGCATAGAAATACGGTCCAAATTCCCCAGCATCAAGAAAATCATTCATTGTTTATTATTGTTATCGTAAGATCCAAAATAGTATCAAATTCAACACTGTTTCCCTCGATTCTGTGCAAAGCAATAGCTTCGTATTTCTAACCTAACATCGACTCCAAATCACTCGAATTATTCTAGTTTCAAAACGTAATTAAACGAAATTCTTTCTTAGTTGTCTATGATGGTTATAATTTAGTTAAAATTCAAAGTAAACAATGGTACCAAATTTACGACGATAACTCTTCGTTTCACAACTTTATTCCACTTCTAAAACTCCCAAAAAGAAATTATTTCTCGATCGTTTATAGATCTACGATCCAATTAATATTCAAAGCAATAAATTTTACCGAATTCAATGTAATCGATGGTTCGCTATTTCCAAATTATCGTTGATCCTTTGTTTCGCAAAATTTACGAAAATAAATTTCTCAATTAAGCTCCCGCTATTTTATTAATTATCGAGGCAAATAAGCGTTCAAACTCGATGAAAAATTACGTGAAATTTGCTCAACGAATTTTGCACGGTTTTTCGAAGTTCAACGCTTCAACCGCCAATCGAAAGTCAAACTTTTCGTAGTTAGCTCTCTAAATATTTTCGTTATTTACCCTTGTAACCGAACACATTCGTTCTCGACGTATTTGAGCAAATCAAACATCAAATCTTTCCGTATCATTATTTCTAGTTATATTACATTACACCTGACTCGACTATCTGTTGACAAAAATTTCAATTGAAAATTCCCCCCCAATAAATAAAAATTTGTCAGACTTTCGAGTGGATCCATCGTCAATTATCCATATCGATTTCAGCGTGGGTGATTCCGATCATAGCTCCAGGGTGACCATTTTCGAATCCTTGAGCGAATTCCCGACCATAGCCGCGTAAAATAAATTGCCGCGCGTGCGCGTAGTTCGAGACGGGGTCTAAACATTCAATTAGCACTTCCTAATCCCCCGTCGCTCGTTGTCAACAGCCATTACTTCCAGCATCTTCTCTCCTCTCCGTTGAACCCACCCCCGAGCACCCTCTTGGGGTCTCTCTCGCAAGCAACCGCGCGCTGGTGTTTTCCACCCCCTCACGCGCCCCCATCGTCCTCGCTAACCAACGTATCTATTAATCCGGGTCTGAATGACACTCGAGGGTGGCCCGAGGGGTGATTCTAACCCTACAAAATCGTAACTACCGCCCCCGGGTTAACTCCCTCGACCACTACAGGTCTCTTAATGAATGCTCAAGGAGATCCGCGCGTAATTGTATTAGTTCGAGAGGAGAAACCCGGTAGGAGAGACTCGAGGAAACGAAGCGGAGAAAGAGAGAGAGACGTGGGGAGCACGAGAGCGAAGGGTGACATTTAGGGTAAAAAGACGGAGGAGAGAGGGCCGCCGCCGCCGCCGACGCGCTGAGATTGGTTAATGGCTTTGATACGAGGAAAGGATAAGATTAATTTGCTTGCGAATCAAAGAGCAAACGAATAAGCAATTACCGGGACCGTGAGGAGTGGCTGCACGAGTGCCCTCGCTCGGTTCTTCTGCGTGTCGGTGGTGCACAATTAAAAGCCACCGAACCGGAGGAGCGCGACGGGTTTATGGAAATCACCACGGACGGCGGAAAGTCGCTCCAAGGCGAAACGTTTGACGAGATTTGCCCGCGAGGATTTTGTGGTTAGACGATCTCGGTATTCGCCTAATTACGCGGGGAGGGGAATATTAGCGGGGATTCCTGGCCAATTGTCACCCACTTCTATTTTCCTACCCCATTTACGTTTGTCGAAACGTTACGTTTTCTTATTATTTTTGACGATTTACACGCGAAAAAGTCCAATTTGTGACCGTCGATCGTTCACTTGAGGATCTTTGTCTATTCGAAATTGTTTAAATAGGTTAGTTTGTACTCAGAAACTCGAGATGGTGATATTACAATGATTACATTTTGTATGAATTTTTTTGCACAGGAAGGTGCACACTTTATTTTAAAATGAAAGCAATTGATCAGAATTTATTATAATTTTAAATACAGATAGTCAAAAAGAGGCAATTTTAATATGCAGTTATCGTAAGTTTTTAGAGTATAAATTATCAGATTGATACATATTGGTCTAAATTCCACTAAGGGCTTGCAATTTATGTTCATTTTTTCGATTTTTCTGATCGTCAATGTTTTTAGATTCGTGCTTCTTCTTATTTTGATGGTAAAAATATTTTACCTTTGTCAATTCACACTTTTTCAATATTCATATACAATTCTTCTTCGATTTTATTGCTCATATTATTCTAAAATTCCAGTTAAATTCAAATATTATGAGCAGACTGCGGATCTTTATGCAAATTCACATTTTTATTAACCCCTTAACGTTCATGCCCGAGTCTGACTGCTTTGAAAAACGATATTTATTTAATCTAATGGTTTAAGGGATGATAATATTTGTTTTCCTTCAAATTATACGTTGGATACAACATTGTAATTAACAAAAACCACATTTTTAGAAACAAATCCAATAAAGAAAACTGATTATTCTTTGTTAACCCGAAAAATATGAGCGTTAAGGGGTTAATAGAATTAATGAAACGGAAGCTTCTCAGAGGTCTGTCTCAACCCCTAAATATAATAATTCGTATCTTACTTTAAGTATTTCTTATATTTTTGCATATTAAATATGTAGTCTTTCGAGGATTAAAATTTCCCATAAATGCATAAACATCCGTCTAATTACGAGGATCTACTAAAGAGGAAAATGGGGGGATGAAGAAGACCAATGTTCCACTTGTTATATTACGATTGATGGTTTTTTAGTCGAATTAATAAAAATAGAAATATTCTGTTGAAAGTGTAAATGTAATGGTTAGAAAAAGTCGACGTATCGATAAATGTAACATATAAAGTAATACACACCCTCTCGAGCTATAAATTTATTGAATAAAAACAAGCTTCTTTCGTAATTTCCTACATAATTTATCGTGTGTGTGTTTTGCAGTAACTTGTTGCATTCGAACGGAGAGTATAATTATAGAAATAATAAGTCTGTTAATTTGAAAACTTTTTCAATTCTCCTTCATTGGTATCCACTTTGTTCTGGCAATTTCTTCACAATTTTCCACTTGTTAATATGCAAGGGAACATTTATCCATGAACTACTAATGTGGTTACTGTAAACAGAGTAACTCGTTTGTTTTTAACGACAGAAGAAAAAGTTTGAAACATTATTTGCTTGGTTTTAAGGGACATGTAATATGGGGGCAATAATTTTCTGATGGACGGAGACGTAGAGAATTTTATTCTATTTAAAGAAAGAAGTAACCTAGATCACGACATTCGACAGATGACTGATTGGAATATCCTAGGAGAATCAGAGAATTGACTTGAAAATTACCTCAAAGTTTCTAAACCATTATATCTTTTCTAATTTTGTATTCCTTTCGTAGAGTTGAATCTTGTGACTCGCGATATGTATATTATAAAACACACACACGATAATAATTCCAAATCCTTTCGAAGCTTCACTCCTGCCTTTCAATCCCCAACTCGTCGTTCGCTCAAGAAATTGGTTAACTCACCCCTCAGGTGCTCTTCGAGTTTCTACCCCAAGTCCTTATTCATTTAGAAACGAATGCAATCATAGACAAAACTACGGTTTGTTTTTAAACAGAGGGTTAATTTGAAACGTATCCCCCGGTTGCCAAATAATCTGAGGGATCCTCGAGACCCAAACAACTCCCAAGACACACTCGAGGACTAAATATCCTAGATAACATCACCGAGGTCGTAAATCAGAGGGTTGTGTCCGCGACGTGGTGGTCGGTGTCGAAACAATGGACCCCGTGCCCTGGAGGATCTCTCTCCTCTCCTCTCCATCGGTCACTCGGGCCACGGGGGTCGCTGTTTTCGCGTAGGCGTGTCCCCGCGAGCGCGGAGTTACTAATTGGTGGGTGCGTTTAATTACAGAGCCGGCGGTAACATGTGCGACGGCTCCTTCACGGAGACCCTGCGCGGTATGCAGGGCATGTCGGGCACTTCGCCCCCTGGCGGGGGGGGTGTCGGACCCATGGGGGTTGGCCTCGGTAGCCCCCTCGGTCCAGCCACGAAGAAGGCTCAGGTGGAGCACATCAAGAGGCCCATGAACGCCTTCATGGTTTGGTCCAGGCTCCAGCGACGGAAGATCGCTCAAGAGAACCCCAAGATGCACAACAGCGAGATTTCCAAGAGGCTCGGTGAGTCCCCTTTTCTTATAAATTTTTGGCAAGGAACCACTGAAAATGAAGGCGATTTTTCAAGAATTTTTTTGGTGGTAACTATCAAACTTAAGCGGTGAAAATGTAAAGAATCAAATGACGTTTCCAAGAGTTCGGTGAATCCCCTTTTCTTACAAATCTTTGACCACTGTAACCACTGAAAATGCAGGCGATTTTTCAAGAATTCTTTTGGTGGTAACTATCAAACTTAAGTGGTGAAAATGTAGAGAATCAAATGACGTTTCCATGAGGCTCGGTGAATCCCCTTTTCTTACAAATCTTTGATAAGAAAGCAATGAAAATGAAGGTGATTTTCAAGAATTTTTTTGGAGGTAACTATCAAACTTAAGCGGTGAAAATGTAGAGAATCAAATGACGTTTCCATGAGGCTCGGTGAATCCCCTTTTCTTACAAATCTTTGACCACTGTAACCACTGAAAATGAAGGCGATTTATCAAGAATTTTTTTGGAGTTAACTATCAAATTTAAATGATGAAAATGTAGAGAATTAAATGACGTTTTTTGTGTACACTATTGATAACAGTATTTGGACGATAATCACCTCACGGTTGTGCAACTGTTTAAAAATTGTTTTTGACTAGAAATTACTGTCGCGGCGGATACGTTCGTTCGGTTATAGCAACACGATCATTAACATATCTTTAGCGATCCGTTTGTTAGACAGTTATATTTGTTGAACATTGTATAACTTCCGTCATCACTTAGTCATCCTCGATCAAAGAAACGCTTACACCGGGCCACAAAAGAATCGTCGAAGATGGTCGAAGTGTTTCATTTTGTATTCAGCTATCTTCCGTTTGCATTTCCATTTCTATTCGTAACGTAACTTTGTTCAGTTTGCTACGAGTTCAGCTTTATTCGTGTTTCTATTCACCCCGAACTTAGTTGCTAACATTAGACATCGGTATACTCAATTAGTCACGGGGCGTCACGGCTTGTAATTTCATAAACTAACTGTTTAGTTTTCTTAATTTCCATAAATCAACAGTTAAGATCTTGTAAATGATTGCACCGACCGAGAAACACCGGATTGCTATTCACTCGGAGACTTTCCACGTCTGCTCCTGTAAAATCTAACCGTCTCGGTTTTAGAAATCGTAAATCATGCTGCGTGAGGAAATTAGTCGAGTAAAAATATCCTTAACAAATCGAGCACAGCTATTTGTCGACAAAATGCGTTCGAGAAAATATAATTGGTAGTGCCTAATGATGTCCACTGGAGAATTTTATCTTTAAGAATATAATTTTCTGGTGTGCACGGCGTTGACTGTTATAAAATCTGTAAATAACATAATAATCAGAGATAGATGTCCATTCTTTCAAAAACCTTTGGATTAAATTAACCCGAAGCGTGCTAGGATAACAAACACGTGTGTGGCGACGCCTCCCACAATTGCCAGCAGAGGGCTACGCTCTCTCGCAAGTACTCCACCGGCAACCTACTCATATAGATACATTCTCCTCCTGCTATCTCACGTATCTTCTTTCCTCAAACGTCTCCCAAACACTGTTGATAATAAAAAAGATCCTCACTAAATTATACACGAATTTTACTTCAATTGAAATTGACAAGTAGTGTCAATTTTCCCCTAGACGGAGTAAAAAGAGTCTTTCTTTCCGGAAACACGCGAAATTAATCGGATTTTCGGACTATTCGACGACAGCTTGCTCGCGATCAGGTTCGTCGGTGAGCACACATCGAAGATTTGCGCCCCGGGTTTCTTCTCGTCGCATCATTCATCCCTTTCAAAGTTCCTTGCTTTGCTCTCCCGACGGTCCGGCGGCGCTCGACACGCGCTCGAATTATTCGTTGCTCGCGATACAGACGAGTGTACCGAGGGAGAAGAAAGGAGATAAAGACGAACGGGGGACGAAGGTATTCCGGTTGGTATTTCCGTTAAATACCCGGGAATCGACAAAGCCCGGTTCCCGCGGCTCCCCTCGAAGCTTCTTTATCCGTCATTTTCTTCCTCCTCGCCTGGGCTCCTCTACCCCCGGGTTTCTCGTTCCCCCGGCGACGACGAATAAGGGAAGTGCCTGCTCCTCGGTAAAAATGATGCGCGCACGCTCGAGCCACCTCCCTCCGCCGCGGAATTCCACCCCCTGGGCTCTCGTGGCGCTCCTCTCGCCTCCCCCGCCTGGTCCTCCTCCTCCTCCGCGTCATCCACCTACCCTCCTGCCCCCTTTCTCTTCTCCGGCTTGCACCCTTTGTCGAAGCGACACTTTTTCGTCGCTCTTTTACCGCCATGTCCCTGCCACTGCGTATATTTCTGCTTGATATACAACTCCACTCTCTCTCTCTCTCTCCTTCATTTTTTTGTTCCCTTCCCTCTATCTTTCTCTTTCTCTTTCTCTCTCTTCTTCTCATGGCTGGCTTGTCGGAGCATTTGCAAATTTCATCCTGCAACCCTCTCTGCCCCTCTCCGCTCGAACGACCCACCACTCCTCCAGCCACGGTCGCTACCTTTTCCGGCGCGATCCGCCCTCCGCCCTCCCAACCCCCCCCCCCCCCCCCCCCCAACGACCGTCACGACAACGACAAAAGATTCGAGGAACCGATGTACTCTGCCGAGCACTCTCGACTCGTTCGCTGGAATCTCGCCCTGGAATGTCGTGGTCCGCTTTCTTCCGTGCCTCCTCGCGGTTTCCGGGGAAAATGTTAACTCGCGAACCGGCTTCCGTTCCAGAGGGCTCGCGGGAAGCCGAATCGAGGGTGTAATATATTGTTGTGCAAATAGGATATTTGATCGCCAGGCGTTCGGGATTGTATCAAACCCCCTGGAGAATGAAATGGTACATTTTAGGAAACGCAGGGATATTATTTGCGTATAATAATCCACACTGAAAATCCTCGCCAAAATACGAAACTAAAAGGTATCTCATCTGTTCGAAAACTAGTATCCCAGGGTTTTTTAGCGAGTTTCCTTCTATATAATTTCAAAAATTCTCTTTTCAACCCCCTAAGTGGGCTCTCAATATCAACTGAATTATTTCACTTAATATTGATTCTTATCAAATTAGTAAATCAACTTTTCTTTAAAGCATTTAAAAAGCAATGAACTACTGGAGGATTACATAAATTTTCAAACAATTATACTCATATAAAGTAAGGGTTGAGATACAAGTACAACTAGTATTAAAGCAGGGTTAGGTTTCAATAATTATCAGATTTTGTCCTGCTAACAATTTAGAGGATATCAATCTTTATAGAAAAAAGTTATTTAGTAATAAGAATATATAGTTTTCATATATCCAGTGAAAATTATTAGCAATTGTATTTGATTTTTAGTTTTATAGGACAAATTGACTAGATAGCCAGAAAAACTAGCTAAAATTTTTCTTCTATTTGGAAGTTTAGAAGCATATGAGCATTGTAGTGTTCGAAGCTAGAAAGAAGGCAACATTGTACTTAACCCTTAAATGGACTCTCAGTATGAACTGAATTATTTCACTTAATATTGATTCTTATCAAATTAGTAAATCAACTTTTCTTTAAAGCATTTAAAAAGCAATGAACTACTGGAGGATTACATAAATTTTCAAACAATTATACTCATATAAAGTAAGGGTTGAGATACAAGTACAACTAGTATTAAAGCAGGGTTAGGTTTCAATAATTATCAGATTTTGTCCTGCTAACAATTTAGAGGATATCAATCTTTATAGAAAAAAGTTATTTAGTAATAAGAATATATAGTTTTCATATATCCAGTGAAAATTATTAGCAATTGTATTTGATTTTTAGTTTTATAGGAAAAATTGACTAGATAGCCAGAAAAACTAGCTAAAATTTTTCTTCTATTTGGAAGTTTAGAAGCATATGAGCATTGTAGTGTTCGAAGCTAGAAAGAAGGCAACATTGTACTTAACCCTTAAATGGACTCTCAATATGAACTGAATTATTTCACTTAATATTGATTCTTATCAAATTAGTAAATCAACTTTTCTTTAAAGCATTTAAATAACAATGAACTAGTGGATAATTACATAAATTTTCAAACAATTATACTGATATAAAGTAAGGGTTGAGATACAAGTACAACTAGTATTAAAGCAGAGTTAGGTTTCAATAATTATCAGATTTTGTCCTGCTAACAATTTAGAGGATATCAATCTTTATAGAAAAAAGTTATTTAGTAATAAGAATATATAGTTTTCATATATCCAGTGAAAATTATTAGCAATTGTATTTGATTTTTAGTTTTATAGGAAAAATTGACTAGATAGCCAGAAAAACTAGCTAAAATTTTTCTTCTATTTGGAAGTTTAGAAGCATATGAGCATTGTAGTGTTCGAAGCTAGAAAGAAGGCAACATTGTACTTAACCCTTAAATGGACTCTCAGTATGAACTGAATTATTTCACTTAATGTTGATTCTTATCAAATTGGTAAATGGAAATCAACTTTAAAGCATTTAAATAACAATTACATAAATTTTCAAACAATTATCCCGATATATATTAAAGAATTTTAAACTTGCTAAAGAGCCAAACAAGAACATTAATCCTTTGCACTCCTATGTCTCGACATTTCTTCAAATTCAAACCAAAGATATATCACACACTTGCAAAATTACAAAATACAACAATAGTGTAAATAAAACAGACATTTGATTGAATTTGTTTGTTCCTCTGTTTGTTTAAATTTCCCTATTTTTTAACAAACTTCAAATATAATTCGGAGTGCAAAGGGTTAATGAATGCATTACCGTGGAAATAGAAGTTGATCTCAGGAGAAGATCGCATAACTTGATATCATATTATCAAAGCTTGATTATACAATCAACAAGAATTCTTTAAACGACATTTTGGCCCGGATTATCGGATTCCAGACCTCTAATTAACCGGAAGCCCACACTTTTGCTGGGATGACGTTGTCTGTTTCGAATCCGTGTCGCAATTTGGTTCGAATTAAGATAACGCCGATTAAGATAACGGTTTTACGAATTAAATCAATGA